CACAACACTTCAGAAATACAAGTTCATGTTGCTGCATGCCTTTAGCCCTTCACTTAATACAATTTGTAGGCGAAAAACACGATTTATTGTAGATTATTTTCCGAATAAATTTAAATTAACAAAAAAATATTATATTAGAATAGGCCATAAAGCAGTTTCGATAGATTTAGAGTTGTATGTATTTATTTTATCTGATTAAGGTGAATTGATTCCGTTATATATCTGCTAGACATGCGTTTCCTTTCATAGGCGATGGTGCTGCAAATGAGTGGTGAGTGAATATTTTGTCACTCCTATTCAGACAAAGAAATACTAGAACAACCACAATTTTATATCAAAACCAGTAAAAACGTAACTTCGGTTGCACCGAAACTATAATACCCTTCACAAAGACAAACGTTTCGATATAAGAACTCGATTTTAAGCGATCAGTTTGTATGGCAGCTATATACTATATTGATTCGATCTGGACAATTTCCTGAGATATTGTAGCGTTACTGTAAGAAATAATCCATGTAAAATTTCGTGAAGATATCTCGTCCAGTAAAAAAGTTTTTCCTACAAGAACTTAATTTGGATCGTTCAATTTGTGTTGCAGCTATATGCTATAGTGGTCTGATATCGGCCGTTCCGACAAACGAGCAGATTCTTGGGGAGAAAATTTCAAAGTTTCGTGTTCTTTTCTTAGAATGTTACCTTCTAGCGTGAAAAAAGTTCAATATTTTCTGCCCTTCACAAAACAAAAGGGTGGGAGTTACCGAGGCGATGTTTATTTTCGTTTTCGATAGTTATTTTTACACTCTTGCAACATGTTGCTACAAAGTATAATCGTTTTTTTCACCTAATAGGGTTATACATATATAAATGATCAGCATGAAGAGAGGGGTTGAAATCTGAGTGATTGTCTGTATGTTCGTCCGTCTGTCCGTCTGTGTAAGCGATAACTTGAGTAAAAATTAATATTTCTTAATGAAACTTTGTACAAATGAGGACCAGTTCGTAGATGGGCGTATTCGGACCTCTGGCACGCGCAAAACGCCATTCGATCGCCATCGAAAACATATATAATGCCGTAACTACGCACTAAATTAAGACAAGAACCTCTAATTTGGTACAGAGAAAAAATGCTTGTGGCTCCGCCCTCTAATAGGCTTAATGTACATATCTCCTAAACCATTAAAGCTACAATAACAAAATAGGACAACTCTAATTCCTCTACTGACAGTGTGATAATGGATGTAATTTAATTATAACCCTGCTCTCTTCCCATATAACGGTGTTGTTAAAAACTACTAAAAGCGCGATAAATCCATAACTAAACGCGCCATGGACGTTTAATTTTACACAAAGGATGATACATTATGGCTTTATAGGAGCCGGGGGGAAAATTGGTCGAAGGGTGTGGCATTTTGGTGAAATAACTTATCTCCGGACCTATTCGACCAGTTTCAACAAAATTTAGTAAATAATTTTATTCTGACGATCCTATGTTACATTGCGAAAATGAGCGCAATTGGATTCTTTCACTTTCCAGGACATAAATAGAGCAAACTTTGCATAAATAATGCCTCCTAGGTTGCCAAAACGGACCCCAGAATTTCTGGGAAAATGTTTGTTTTGATAATAATATAACATTGCGTCGAAAATGGGTTGATCGGGTCAAAGCTTCCCTTAGCCACCATATACCTAATATAAAGATTTTCGAAATTTACTTGACTTGACTTAATATTACACCTATGCTTTTTTTAAATTTTATTCGGATTTTTCGTTCTTTCAGGATTTTACCTAATGAAAATAATAATTTCGCGTAATCAATAAAACACAAAATATATTTTCTTTGCTTATACAAAAGCGTTCGATTTTATGTTATGTTTGTATTTAATTTTTAATATTTTTGATAAATAGTGCCTTGTCACTTATTTCTAAATAAAAAAAATTCTATACCGCAAAATGGACTGGTATAATATGCTTAACACTTGAAAATTTTGAATCGTAAGTTGTACTTGGCCGCAGGTGTATATATTATATGTATGTATGTGGACGAATCTGCTAGTTATTTTAATGAAATTGAGAGTGTGTATTTTACTAAGAACAGTTTGTGTCAAAAATGGATTAAATCGGAAGAAAATTTGCATTAGCGTCCACATAGCTGATATCCAGGATTTTGAAACATCCGACTAACTTTACTCCATATATGTATATGCTCATATTGATATATTTATAAAATTTTTGGAAAATAAGTTTTCAAGTTTACCTGAACAATGCCAAAAATTAATGCAATCAGCCCTTTCATTTCTCTGTCCCCAATATAATATATATAATGATTTCCGACTTTCCACCTGACTTTATACCGTTTAGGTTGGTCAAAATGTATGATATTTAATGAAATTAAGTGAGCACGTTTTCATAAAATTTATAAAGTTAAAGTTCACATCAACTTAATATACTAAATTTAGCCTCTTCGGTTGAATTTATATCACATACAGTGACGAGCAATACTGGAACACGGATATTCTACCTGTTATAAATAAAATTAAATTTTTTTTTAATGTTGTGTCTGAACATCGTATTTTACATGTAGTGTAAAAGTGCCAACATCAAACAATAATCAACTACTGGGCACAGCGAAAATTAAAGGAACATTACATTCTCGCCTTTCTATGAGGCAACATTTTCATCGAGAATGGAAACCGCTATAACTGCCTCAATTTCATTTTAAGCGGCATTTAAGCACTGTTTCGGAGATAAACATGGCACAAAAAAATCGATGTATGGGTTTCACATGAGTTAACGGAAAAAGGACCAAACTTCCACCCGCACATCGCTTCTGAATCGGAAGAAAGTCGATCAATCTCTGAAGCGTATTGTTACTGATGACGAAAACAGGGTCACTTACCACACCATCAAATGGGAACGGTCTTGGTCGAATCGCAATGAGCCGACGCAAACGGCGCCCAAGCCAGGATTGACGGTCAGGATGGTTTTGCTATCTAATTGATGTGATTGACTTGAGATATACTATGAATAAGAGGATTGTCTGAAGCAAGTTATAACCCAGAATCGGCTGGCCTTGGCCAATACGAGAGGAATTGTGTTCCCTCAGGATAACGAAGATCACCTCGATAGTGAGTCACCAGAAGGTCCGGAAGCTTGGTTCGGAGATTCTTATGCAGCCACCTTATAGTCTGCGAATGATTTTACTTGCATTTTCGCACTGTAACATAGGAATGAGCTTATAATGGCACCTATCAAATTTGGTTGAAATTGGTTGAGTAGGTCTGGAGATATGTGATTTCACCAAAGTGAGGGCGGTGCCACGCATATCGTCCACTTTTGACACCGGCTCCTATACAGCCCTCTTTTGCCATCCTGCATGTAATATTTTATGCCTCTGACGTATTTCTTAACCGTTATATAGGGAGTGGGCGTGGTTATTAGCCGATTTCACCTATTTTTACACAGTAGTAATGTAGAGTCGAAACATTTTTCCTGTGCAAATTTTAGTGATATAGCTTGAATGGCTTGGGAGACATATAAGTATACCATACATTAAACTTATCAGGAGGTGGAGTCACAACAACTTTTTAAAAATCCGTAGCCCACATGCGCGCCTCACCTCTGTGACACCTCTGTGGTATTTTATTTATATTAGATATTTATAGGTTTTCGATAAATGACGTTATGTGGGTGGGGCAATGGATCCGTCCATCTACAGTATCAACCTCTCTTGAGTGCCAGGGAACACGTCAACGATTTCATCAAGATCTTAATTTAAACTCAAGTTATCGCTTGCACGGATAGACGGACGGACAGACAGTCACTCGGAATTCAACTCGTTTTGTCATCCTGATCATTTATATATACATAAATAACTCCATATCTCTCTCGATTAGGTTAAGGTGATACAAATAACCGTTAGGGGATCAAACCCTATTATACTATGTAGCAACATGTTGCTGTCTCGATTAGTTTTAGGAGATACAAATAACCGTTAGGTGAACAACTGTTATACTCTGTAGCAACATGTTGCGAAAGTATAATAAGAGAAATCTTTTTTACCGAAGGTATTATACCAGCTTTCGGTATAACCCTATATTGGCAACTCATTTAGTAAAAATGCTTTTAATATACTAATAATTTCTACAATATATTTAATTTACGGAACAAAAATCGAAATTCGGGGTTTTAGTGTCGTCTTTCAGCCTTTTAGAGGGCTAATCAATGGTCCAATAAACTTTTGATAACACTAACAGCTTCTTAAATTTTACTGTCACAGATATTTACCAATAAATCATTTATTTCCAGAATGTATATTTGTTTTGTTTTTGTTTTCCTGTTTTCTTGAAATAATATAAACAGTTAAACAGTTAAACAGATAAAAAGAAAGTTTAATCTAGTATAACATTTTTTTTTTACTGGGTTAGACGATGTGAGATACAGTTATATTTTTACTCATATTAAAATACCCTTTTGTGATCAAGTAAATAAACCTTTTCAGAAGAATGTTAGCAATGTGCTAGTCAAGAAACAAAAAATTAACTGCAAAAATAACTGTGTATTATTACTTTAATAAGAAACTTGCCTATAACCGATTGTGTCAATTCAATATGCGTCGTTCCAGCATTCAAGTAAAATATCTGCACCTAGTATCATATTTCTAAAACTTTTTCTTAATAATCGCAACTTGATTATATTTGCATTTACAAAATATTAGCTTTACACAGGGAATATAAAATTTCCCAGATTGCGGAAGTGACGTTCTACTCGTTCTCTTCCGTATTCTAGTAATTTTACCTTGACTACCTTGACTGTACGGCTGAGCCGCTTATTGGAAGCGCAAGTACTATATTATATTAATATAGTTTTACAATGTTGCAAATTACAATTCTGTAGACAAAAGAAAAATCTTTAATCACATTCCTTTTCTGTTATTGCAAGCTTACTTTTCAATATCTTTCCTGTATTATTAAAGTTTTTTGTTTTGGTTATCTCATTTTCAGTTCACTGTTATTGGATTGTGATTTACTTGAATGCAACAACTCGGGGAAAAGTTGCAAGAACCCTTCCAATTGAGATTATGTGTGCAAAAACAACAAGGTAAGCTAGGGTAATCTTCATTCAAGCAATTGGCAGCTGAGCCGTTGCAACCGAGGCGGCAGAAAGAAAATCTGGCACGGCCGCAACTTACTCGCAATGCCTGCCCTTGGGGCCAACCATATACACCTCAGTCATACTCTCGCCACTTTTGCTGTAACACTTCCACGTACTGAACCTTCGGCACGTACAAAATTGCAAACAAAGTACGAAACAACTACCTTATGCCAAATAAATAAGAGTTATTCTACAAATTAATGGCAGCCAATTACTTGGCAATGCAAAGCCTCTTACACCGAACCCTTAATAATGCAATCACAAAATCTTGATATTTCACTTTCGTTCTGTTTTTTTCTTTCTCTTGTATTTTTCAGTATTTGCCGATGTACGACAAATCAAAGAAAACCTGGAGTCAACGGCTCAAAATTACGAAAACCACAGAGAGCAGTAACGCCACATCAGCAACAACCGCAAGCACATTCACGGAGTCTAGCGCGACGGTGACAGGCTTACATCAATTGGAGAACATAGCCGCTGCGGCAGGCACAGCAAGACCAACAATAACAAAAACGAAAATAACACAAGATTCAGCATATAATGCAAATAATTTTGGTCGCCACCAAGTACACGTACAGCAATATCAGACAGTAGCAACAACTATGCATTTACCAACACTTCAACTTAGTGATTATCACATCGGCAATGGTGGGGTCAGCGTCAGTGGCGGCGGCGGTATTGGCGGTGTCAATGGCGGCTATGAGTATTTACCAAGCTCTCTCTCACGCTCCATGAAATACGCAGAGCCATGGATCTATGGCACCGTCCGCGGAATACCCGCGCGCCCTTCATACCACCACTTTATGCCACAGGCATCATCGTCACCAGGCAATTACATGCAACCATTGGCGGTGGTCATTTGTTCGTGCCCCGAGTACTTGAACGGCACTAAACGCGATGTGAAGAAGGCGAGCGTATGTAAAAAGTGTAAAGGTTCACGCCTACCCTTGACGCCCATCGGTGGCACTATGCGTCTCGCAGCTGGCGGTATGCTTTCCACTACAAAAATGCGTAGCAGTGGAGCTGCCACCGTCCGCGTAGTAAGCACTTCGAAAAAAGCACGTCCCACTATACTTGACCCGCAGAAAGATCCGTATGATTTAATGCGACGAACGCGTCTGCTATCACCCGAGCCGGGCAACAGTAGCACCAGTGGTGGTGGACGCGATACGACGGGTAGCACACGAGATAAAGATAAACTGCGTAGTCGTGGCAAAAGTGCAAGTCCCGTACGTGGACGTAGCCGTAAACGTGGTCAGTTGCCAACGTTGTACCATAAGCAGAATGTGTCCAATGGTGGTATACGGGAGGAACCCGATTGTTGGCTGGTGGAGGACACAGATACGCTTTTAAATGCCTCCGGGGCAATCAGTAGCGAGGGTAATGCCACTCGGCGTTCCATATTACGCTGCAATGTAAATCCATATGATCTGATCTCACACAACCAATCTTCTAGTAGTGGCACAACAACAATCACAACGCCAACACGCTGTAAGCCATCCACCCTAACTGCCAGCTCCAGCGCCAAATCTGCCTCACATAATGAGTTCATGCCACCAAATGACGACTTTAATGTGGCAGATGCGGCACTCTCCGAGGAAGCACCACCATTTGCCTCCAACCTGGTAGTTGGCGTTTCACGCATGACTGACACCAGCAATAATCAAGCAGCTAAAACGCTACGCGCTTCAAAATCAAAGGCAGAAAATAAAACAACGGTATTGCGACGTGAGAGCCGCATAGCTGCCGCGCCAAATACGTGTGTAAACATCAGCGAGGAAGATGGTAGCAGCTCATATGACGAAGAAATGCATGGTAAACGCAACTACAATAATGTTCAAGCAATTGCCGGGCAACGCATTAGCTTGGGTGGCAAATCTACAACCAAATCATTAATCAAACAAAACGAGGATGGACGCAGATATGAGAGCATTATAGTCGCTGATACGACGAAAGAATCTACGAGCAAACAGCAGTTCAAACGAAATGAAATGCAGAGAAAATCACAAGATTCCTCCACTACGCCAACACCCACACAACCAAGTCAACCGCCACGTCTACGCAAATCTGAATCGAGTGAAAGTGCTGAAAGCGAAGCAGAACACAGCCGAACAAAGAATGAAGCTAGTAAATCATCTGCTCTCGCACTAGATGGCGAACGTGTTATGGTATTGACATTCACGCCAAACCAAAACATCAAGTCGATACTGAAGCGTCCCACATCCAATACCGCGGAGAGCGGTGCCGACTCGCCAATTGCCAAGGATCAGCAAACATTATTACCCGTTGGCGCTTCCAGCATTGGCGCAAAAGCAATGACACCTAGTAATCAGCGCCACATAGCCACAGTGATCCCCTCGCCCACGACCAAATCGCAATTTTACATTCCACTTCCACAGACACGAAAAAAAGTGCAGTTTCGTGAAGAAGAGCGCATCGTACATGCGCTAGACTGTGACATGGCGAGCAGTGATGAAGCCACTGAGGTTGCTGAAATGCAGGAGATTTCATCTGACAAAGAGGATGGCAAAGAGTTGGATGATACAAGCCATCAATCGCCCAGACCCACGACCAATTACGAGTACTACAATCGAAAACGCGAACAACAACGCTTACAACGTTTGAAAAATACTTCCGAGGCCGAAAGAACACATCCCCCCGGGCAATCGACGCCGTTGTCACTAACGCTGCCAAAACAGGATGCATTGCTAGCGGAATTGCAGCAATATTCCGATTTTGTAACGCAAGTGATTGCTCAAGCAAGCAATAGCTACATTAACAGCAACAACAAAAGCGCTGCGAATACTGTGCACGATTATGATGGCTATAATTTTGATGAGCCAGCCATTGAAAAGCGTGCTGCAGCCTCCAGCAGTGCAACAGACTCAATGCATTATGAGGATTTAAGTCCCATAACTAGTGGCGAAGGCAGCGATGGCCCCACCACTGCTAGCAGTTACGCTACCAATAATAAAAACAGCACCAGCGGCGGCAGTCAACAACAAAGTTGCAACGCCGACGAGAAAACTATGTCATTTAGTGGCACGAAAATGTTGCTTACTCAACAAAATGCCGGCAGGTCGACGCATTCATCACCAGCAATAAAGGCAGCAACGGTAGCGTCGACATCATCGACAGCATTACCGCCAACAACAAAAGCCACAAACGATCAATCACTTGCCGCAGCAACAGTGCAAGCAGCTGCCGCCGTGTCACATGTCATTCGCAGTGACAAAAATAATGATTATGATGATGCTGCTAACGCTGATGGCGATGTTGGCCAGCCGGACGCCGTCAATAAGGGCAACAACAACAACGATAACGAGAGCAGCGACGAGGATGTGTACGAGGATGCGCACGACGACAGCGCTGACGACGATATGAACAGCATTATGTTGGGCAGTACAGTGGCTTTGACCACAGCCACGGCATCCACTGCCACTGATGATGTGCTAAAAGCGGAGCTCGGTGAGTTCATTTATTTTTATGTTCACCGCTTTGTTAGCTTTTAATTATGGATATAAAGTTTGTCAGCATCAGCGCCTTCCTCTAGCACGCTAGGCCGGCTGACTTTGTTCTCGGCTGTAAACGTAATTTGGGGCTTATAAAAAAGCAACAACAAAACAAGCACACTCTTACTTGCTATATACATAAGTGAACACATGAATGGCATAAATGCGCCGTGCGGTGTGGCATGCCGCGAATTGAATATTGCGCACAGCAGCGGAAGTGACCAATATGTGCGACTTAGTTGCGGAAGAATGGTTGCTTTGTGTTTGTGTTGTTTGTTTTGCTAAAGTTGATGACATTCACGCAAAGCTTCCGATTTTTTATCGAGATAGTAAAACTTCAAAGTGAATCGCTACACACTAGTTTATTTTCAACCGCTGGTGCATATAATGCAAACGTCTTTATTTGCCACATGTATGAATGTACAATATCAAAAGAAGTACATAGCTTTAAACTATTTTTTCGGATTAAAGAACTTGGCGAAGGAAGAATTGCTAAGAAAAGTATAAGGGGTATTCACACCGAACATGTTAATCAGGATCCCACTTTATTAAATACTTACTTTTGAAAAAAGTTGTCTAATATTATTTTATAGCGAGTAGCAAATGTACTTTTTCGCAATGAATCAAATGAAATTTGTATGCAACGACGCAAAAGCAACAGCTGATTTGATGTTTCCAAGTAACGAAAATATTATCAAACTTGTGACACTGGTACTTCGTTCCTCGGTAGAACGATAATCTGTTAATTTTACAAAAACAAAATGCACGTAAAAGGGTGTCGAATAACGAGTAACGAATTAACAAAGTTGGTGTCAATGTGAAGATATTTTATATGAAAGCAAATTGGTTGTATATCAGCGAAATAATCATCAAAAATATGTCTATGTTAGCGACTATTAAGAACCACTACTTTTCCCCTTTACTCTGATCCGACCTTTAACAAAATTAGAAATTTCTATAATCTACTAGTGATGATGCAAAGCTTTCAGTAGAGCATATATGTAGATAGACCCATAGATTTAATAGTCGAGTCAGTCCTTTCATTTTTAAAGCGAGTCTTGTCGTTTACCAAACAAAAAATGCTTCAAGAAATTTAACAGATCATATAAGAGTCAGTATGACTTTGCAAGAAGATACGGTTCATCAGTTATAGCGATCCAATGTTGGCTCTTTGTTCGAAGCTCATTTTCGCACCGATGACAAAAACATACTGACACTTAAAATGCAATAACTTCACTTCCAATAGATGAAATGTCATGAAATTTTTACTGGATGTCGATAAAAGATAGCAGATTCTAAGGCACTAGTCGACATATAGATGGCGCCAATAGAGTTTACTTTGTTACTTTTTTATACTCTCGCAACCTGTTGCTACAGAATATAATAGTTTTGTTCACCTTACGGTTGTTTGTATTACCTAAAACTAATCGAATTAGATATAGGGTTATATATATATAAATGATCAGGATGAAGAGACGAATTGAAATCCGGGTGACTGTCTGTCCGTCCGTCCGTCCGTCCGTGCAAGCTCTAACTTGAGTAAAAATTAAGATATATTTATGAAACTTGGTAGAAATGTTTCTTGGTACCGTGAGATGGTTGATATTGCAGATGAGCGTAATCGGACCACTGCCACACCCACAAAACGCCATTAATCAAAAACAAATAAATTGCCATAACTAAGCTCCGCAATAAGATACAAGACTGTTATTTGGTACAAAGTATCACATTAGGAAGGGGCATCTGCAGTTAAAAAATTTTTTTAAAGTGGGCTTGGTCCCGCCCCTAATAGGTTTAATGTGCATATCTCCTAAACCGCTAATGCTATAATAACGAAGTTCACTGGAAGCAAATGTTTTTAGAACTTCTACCTACAGTGTGAAAATAGTTGAAATCGGGTGGCAACTCCGCCCATTCCCCATACTAAACACGCCAGAGACATTAAATTTTATATCTGGCATGGTATGAGATGACTTTATAGGAACCGCGTTCAAACTTTGTCAGTGGGAGTGGCACCGCCCACTTTTAGATGAAAACCCATTTCTTGAGATCTGCTTAACCGATTTCAACCAAATTCGGTACATACGTTCTTTTCATATTTCTATGTCATATTGCGAAAATGGGCAAAATTGGACTACAACCACGCCTACTTCCCATATAACACCATTTTAAATTCCATCTGAATCTTTCACTTTCCACTATGCAAATCAGGCAACAATGACTGTATCGGGTTTGCGTGAATAATGCGATTAAAGTATGCCACCTTGTGACTAAAAATTGTCTAAATCGAACCAAAACTGTTCAAGCCCCTAAGTACTAAATATGTGGACCCCAGTGCCTATAGTTGACCTTCTACCGAAAATATCAGTCAATCCACAAAGAAATCTCAAACGAGTATACCATTTGACTTTGTGAGAGTATAAAATGTTCGGTTACATCCGAACTTAGCTCTTCCTTACTTATTACTGTTTACTTTGGAACGCACCTTGTATTTAGCCATGTAGGGTAAGTCTACCTTCATACACTAGTCGTTTAAAACTTATAAATCTACCTACACTTTCTAGTCGTAGGGAAATACTTGGTGAAATTAAATGTAATATCCCGGTTCGCTTTTCGAGGCAGTTTAGAACTTTAGAGTTAAAATTCTGTAAATCAAATTTTGAACTAAACGAATTATTCCTACGTATAGGTATGTCATGATTTTAATTCTCATTCCAGCACATTTGACTTATCTGATCACTTTTCAAAATTTAAAAGACTTTATTGTTTTCTCTTAATAAATGAAAATGTAACAATTTACAATCGTAACTATAAACCTTAGCTGTTGAAATTTTTTTTTCTGTAGCGGAGCAGTTTTAGAGCTCAACACTTAAAAAACTCTCTGGCCTTTTCTTCACGGAAGCTGCTCATTTGTCGGAACCGTCGATATCGGTCCACTAAAGCATATAACTGCCATGCAAACGGATCAATCGAAATTAAGATCTTGTAAGAAAAACTTGAACCTGTGAAGGGTATTATAGTTTTATAAATGTATACTAACGTTTTTTCTTGTTTATAATCTAAATTAGGCTAAAGCTTAGACCAATACCTTTGTGTAGTAAAAACAATGAAAATAAGAACAATTTGGTTGTAGTAAAAATCAAGTCGTTTTAAAAGTCTCCAATGATGCATTTATAGCAAAGCAACAAAAACAAATGAGCAACTTTGGGCACCGATTTACGCCATAGAAAAAAAAGAACAAAGAAATAAGAGTAGGCGAACAAGCATATTACTTACATATGTATAAATATTGTATAAGAGTATGTACTTGTATATGTGTTTACGTGTGTATGCGCAAGTGTTTGTAGCAACCTCATACAATGCGTACGCATCGAAATTGCCAGCAGTACTGAGCGGTTATCCAAGTGCGAATGGAGGCGCCACAACACGTTGCAATTTACCATCTATTTGGCAGTGGTTGACAATTTCCACACGTGCAAAGGCAAGCCAAAACTGACAAGCACGCGCTGTGTGCACACACGGAGGTATTGTTGCATGCCCTAAGACGTAATATAATCGCATTATGTATTGCAAATGTGCAAATTGTGTTTATACGTATGCGACTACGCGAACTTTGTCCCGATGCCACATACGAGTATGCGTGTGAGTAGTTTACAATTGGTTAGCAACTATGGAATTTCCTTCCTCATGTGCAGACTCACACACATACAGGCGTACGAGTATATGAGAAAGAGCTATGTATTGAGTCAATTATGCTGATTTGTGCCCCATGGCATTGTGCCTCATAGCCGCTTTCCTAATTGTGTGGGTAATGTTGCGCATTCTGTACCGCCAAAGAAAATAGTTGGTGTCTATTCTCTAGACTTTCATACTTGAAATTTAATTAAATTAAAAAGTTGGTTCTACAATAGACGAAGCCACTTCATAAGCTTTGAACTGTTTGTGCAGCGTGCGGCATGCGCGTATACATTAATTGTTGCACAAGCCGAAACTTTGCATTCATACTGCGCGTGATCACAAGCACATATGTACATATATAGATTCAAGGAGTTGCCACATGCCGACGCACAGTACATGCCACAAGCCACACACACTTAATTGCTTGCATGATTGTTTGCTGGCAAAGGCTACAAATCTGCCGGTGTTGACAGTTGGAGCAAATGTCGGAAACAGTCAGAAGGTGCATAGTCACGCATTCATACTTAATTCAATAAAAGTTATGCAGTTTATGAAATTAGTTGCACAATTAACACCACTTATATTTTTTGCAAAAGGAGCAGTTATTCGGATAACGGATGGGTAAGCGCCAAATGTGGACAGGGCAAGGAAGTAACCAATAATATTGATGGGGCCAAAATAAAACAGCTTATATGTATGTTTATAGGGTGCTTTTAAGAGGTATTGAATTTCCTTTGCTCACAACTCTCAAATCAGATTTCAGCATAAACACATGTGTTTGACATGAAAACGTATAGACTCAAACACCAAGTGTTTAAGTATAAGCAAACAAGTTGTATGTTATACTTCACTTCTACACTTATTATAAACCTCAGCTGGGATGTGTGTCAGCGAATTTTGGTTTTTTCGCCCCCTCCCTTTCTCCATACAAAAGTTTTTCAAAAACTGCTAAATGCGTGAAAAATCAATAACTAAATGCTTCAGCGACATACAACTTTACACCCGAGATGGTTCAAGAGGACTTTGTAGGAGCCGGTGTAAAGTTTGGACGATTGGCGTGGCACCGCCCGCCTTTAAGGGAAAATCTTTCGAGTAAGTCATTCAACCGATTTCAACCAAATTCGATATGTGATATGCCAAAATGCCTACGTTACAGTAGGAAAATAGGTGAAATCAAAGAAAATCCCACAATTTCAAATTCCATCATTCATTCAGACTCCAGTACACAAAACGAGCACCAATTAATATATTCGAATAAAACTTTGGAAAAATAGTGCC